AATCCCCCCCCCCAAAATTGGGCAAAAATCGCCGGAATTGGCCCCCCCCCCCCGAGCTCGGCGCTGGGAACAGGTGGGTCCCCCCCCCCCGGCGATTCCGCCCGAATTCCCCGAAATTCCCCAAATTTCCCCCAAATTCCCGCGGCTCCCCCCCGCGCTCCCCGGGTTTTCCCCGGATCCCCCCGAATTTCCCTTTGGCGCCCCGAAATTCCCGGATTTTTCCTCGAAATTCTCCATTTTCCCTCGAAATTCCCCATTTTCCCCTCGAAATTCCCCATTTTCCCCTCATCCTTTCTCATTTTCCTCCCAAAATTCCCCGTTTTCCCCTCGAAATTCCCCATTTTCCCCTCGAAATTTCCCATTTTCTCCTTGAAATTCCCAATTTTCCCCCCAAATTCCCCATTTTCCCCTCGAAATTCCCCATTTCCCCCCCCGAAATTTCCCATTTTCCCCCAATTCCCCATTTTCTCCTAATTTTCCCCCAAAATATCCCATTTTTGCCCCGAAACTTCCCATTTCCTACAAAAATTTCTCCTTTCCCCCCCAAAATTCCCCATTTATCCCTCAAAATTCCCCATTTTTCCTCCAAATTTCCCATTTTCCCTCGAAATTCCCAATTTTCCCCTCCAAATTTCCCCAAATCTCCCCCAAATCTGCTCAAATTTCCCAGTTTTCCCCTGATTTCCCCCAGATTCCTCAAAATTCCTTGGATTTCCTCCCAAAATCTCCGAATTTCCCGGAATTTTCCCCAAATTCACGCAAATCTCCCAAATTCCCTCGATCCCCCCCCCCCCCCCAGTTCCCCTGGAATTCCTGAAATTCTCTCCGATTTCCCCCAAATCTCCCAAATTCTCCCAAATTTCTCCTTTTCTCCCCCAAAGGCCCAAAATTCTCCCACATTTTCCCCAAAATTCCCCGAAATTTCCTGAAATTCCCAGAAATTCCCTTGAATTTTCCTCAATTCCCAGAAATCCCCCACATTTGGGCTCGAATTCCCAAAATTCTCCCAAATTTCATCGCTCCTTCCCCCAAATTCCCAGAAATCCCCCCAAATTTCCACATGTTGGCCCAAATTCCCCAAATTCCTGCAGATTTCCTGAAATTTCCCCCATTCCCCCTCAAAATTCCCAATTTTCCCCTCAAAATTTCCCCAAATCTCCCCCGGATCTGCTCAAATTCCCCAAATTTCCCCACATTCCCCCCAAATTCCACCAAATCCTCCAAAATCTCCAAAAATCCTCCCCGGATTTTCCCCGAATTCCTTCAAATCTCCCCCAAATTCCCCAAATTCTCTCGATTCCCACAAATCTCCCCCTGAACCTCCCAAATTCCTGCGGATTTCCCCCCCAAAATTCTGCCCCAAATCCCAGAAATTCCCCCCCAAATTCCCCTTTTCCCCCTCCCCCCGCTGCCAAATCCCCCTCGGAAAACCCGGATTTGTCCTAAATCCCGGATTTTCCCCCAAATCCTCCCAAATCCGCCGGGAAGGGAAAAAAAACACATAAAAATGAAAAAACCCACAAAAATCCGCAGTTTTGATGGAAAAGGCGGCGGGATTTGGGTCTCGGGAGCTCCGAAAAGGGAATTTGGGGGGGATTTCCCGCTAATTTTGGGGGGATTTCCCGGGAATTTGGGGGAATTTCCCGGGAATTTGGGGTCGCCCGGCTCCGAGGCTGCCCCGGGCTTGGGAATTTTGGGAATGCGGCGCCTCCGTCCGGGGGAAAACCGCGGAAAATTGGGAAAATCCCCGGAATGAAGGAAAATGCCCCAAAACTGGGGCGAATCCCGAGGGGTTTGGGGAATCCCCGCCGGGACCGGGGCTTAATGGGTTAATTAATGAGGGGCAGCGAAGGGTGTTAATTGGATTAATTGGGGGAGGAGCTGGGGCAGGAGTGGGGCAGGGATGGAGCTGGTTCTGATCCGGTTCTGTTCTATGGGTCCGGTTCGGATCCGGTTCTGATCCGTGGGTCCGGTTCTGATCCGGTTCTGTTCTGTGGGTCCGGTTCTGTTCTGTGGGTCCGGTTCTGATCTATGGGTCCGGTTCTGATCCGGTTCTGATCCGTGGGTCCGGTTCTGATCT